GCAAAAAAAAAATCCTGAATATTTTTGGAAAAAATGAACCAAAACATTCTGAATGATTTTTGAAAATGGAATCATTTTTTGAAATTCCTGAACAATATTTTTGAAAATGCAAACATTTTTTGAATACATGAACAATCTTTGAAGACATGCCCACTTTTTTTAAAAAAAATTTAAAAGCACAAAGTTTTTAAGTACCCGGTCAATTTTTTAAAGGTGAACTTTAAAAAAATGAAACTTGAAAAATTAAAAAAAAAGAAAAATAAAAGAATAAAAGAAGAAGGAAAAAAAACAAAACACTAAAAAAGGAAAAGAAACAGGAAAAGAGGTTCGAAACTATAAAAGTTTCTTGTATTCAAGAAAAACAGGAAAACATGTTCGAAGTGGAATATAAGTTTTTCGCTCCTGAAGGGGAAAAAAAAGGAAAACTGGAGCTCGACCTTCGTTGGCATTTTTCGCTTCCGTCCCATTTTATATATAAAGCAACAACACGACAACACATTACACAGTCGAACAATACAAGGTGATAAGGCAACTCTCATACAATGATGATCCCAAAATAATCGGATAACACATTACACAAACCCGTGCGTCTACGTCGGTGAGGATTTTTTATCCAGCGTAAAAAGAAGTGGGAGCAGAAAAAGAAAAGGACCGATGGATGGATCCTGAAGTGCCGGTGGGAGCAAGTGAGCAGAGCTAGCAAGGCCCCTCTGCACTTGCAACATCGTTGCATCATTTGTCTCGTGATATGTCAAAAATGTAAAAAAAAAGGTCACAACATTTCGGAAAACACCCACACAACATTTTGGTCTGAATGTATGCAATAAATTCCCATTGATCACTGTAAAATCCTTGAGAAAAATCATCGCATCATATGCAACGTGTGAATTCACATTGCAACACAAAATAATTTGCAGCATAATTGTGTATTTATGATAGACCTCCAAAACCCTCACACGCATGTCGGCATGTGTTTGCAGTAAAGCACACATGGGGTCCCACCCATGTATAAATAACAGAAGTAACATCGAAAATCTCCAAATCACTAACCTTCGTTTTGGATAATTGACCTCACCGGATCAGGCTCTCTGGAGGCTCATCGGCACCAAATGGAACAATGTTGGGCCCATTTTTTTTTGTAGTCCAAGGCTTCTCGGAGCTCGATGGTGTGACCTCAAGCTCCACCATGGAGTCACCCCTATACATGGGGCCTAAAACTCTGTGGTGGCATAAAAAGGGACTCGGAGAGGATATATTCTCAAGGAGGAATGGTGGAGGAGAGGGAAGATGGGGCATTTGGGAAGAAAAAAAACCAGAGAAAGGAGGTGCTCGTGAGGGGATCATAGAGGAGAGGGGAAAATAGAGCTTGCAGTACATGAAGTAAGTGAAGCTTGGAGCGAGCGAGTTTAGGGTCATTTTTATGTTTGTGGGTTCGATTACCTGTTAACTACTTATTTGTTGGTTATATCTGATGTTCTATGAATCTAATGAATCAGACCTGATTCTGAAAAGGGAGTATGTATGGGAAAGTCCCCAGCTGCTCGCGAGGTCAAAGGAGCTCGCCATTAACAGTAATTTTAAAAAAATCTGGATTGTTTTTGTGGCAAACTTCAACAAATGTTTTGAGATCCTGCAACTTTTTGTGTCAAAATGACATTAGTGGATGTCGCTGCAAAAAAAAAAAACCAGCACTCCACAATGTTTTTGAAAATGGCATTTTTGGAGCATCGATTTTTTTTGTTTGCCACGACTTCCACGAATTTGATTTCGTGATAAAATTTTGCAAGCACTCGGAATATTTGTCATAAAAGAATCTGATTTTGTTATTTCCTTTTCAAACTTCTATGATTTTACTGTTCATCCGAGCTCATTTGAGCTGAATCTAAGAATAGCCGTATTCCTTATGTATGGTTCAATGATATACTAGGTTTAGTTTAAGTCAATTCCCTCCCTGTACAATCGCCTTATTCCTCCCACATGTGTCGCCCTATCCTCTGATGTCGACCTAATTGCCTGCCGCCCCGTTCTACCTGAGCCATCTTCTCTACCGAGTTACTACCGTCCCAACCATACCTCTAACCACCACCCTCAATTCTGGTGCTAGTGCCCCCCGCACCACACCCGTGCCGACTCACCTCCACTAGTGACATCGCGACAAGACGTGCCATCATTCTTGGTGAGCCCTCGCCAGGGACGCCACGACCTAGTCTTCGGCTTAGGCAACATTGGGAGGGATCAACTGGACTGGAAAGGCTTAGAGCATCTCCACTCGTTCGGCCCCCCAGCGCATAGGCCGACGCATTTTCGGGCGTTCACCTGGCAATTTTTAGGCCTTGGGAGCGACCAAGGCCCCAACCACGCCCCCAGGTGCCGCCCCCAAGGCCTCAGCCATGCTCCCCATATTTAAACTTGATCGTTCCCGCTCCACATAAACGCCATAATCCGGCGATCAGGGCAATAGTTCGGCGATCATCATCGTGACACAGTTCAGCGATCAAATGAAAAGTTCGGTGCACAAAAAAGAAAGGACACGCAAGGAATGCATCAAACGTCGGGGTCGGCCTCCGACGTCGTCGTTGGCGTGCGCGGGCTGGGAGGAGTCGGCGCGGCTTCTGTGCTGCTGGGCGTCGTGGAAGCATCATCACTTGGGCTAGGCTGTGGCGTTGGCGTCGGTGTGGGAGTTGGCGTAGGGTCGCCGGTATCTGGTTCAGGATGAGGCCGCGCTCCGCCAGGAACCATGCCTTGAGCTTCTCGTCGCCGCTCTGGAGCATGCCAGCGCCGCCCATCAAGAAAGCCAAGTTGTTGTTCCTCTTCTTCGGGGCGACGTTGGTCCGGAGCAAGTTGAGTTTGACAGCGTTGTTCATCATCAAAGCAGCCCACCGCGCCTCAGTTTTCTCTTCTCGCGGGGCGACCCTGGTCTTGGCGTCGGCGAGGCAATGCTCGATGGACTCTTGCACGCGTGCGCCCGCGAGCGCCGCCCTCTACCGGGCCTTCTTGGCCCTATTGCGCCTATCAGCGGTGACGGCCTCCCGGTGCTGCACTTCCGCCTTCCAGTCGGCGTTGGTCATGCCCGGGGGCTTGGACGGCGGCGCCCTCTGCTTCCTCTGCTTCGGCTGGGCGGCGGCGGCTGTGGTATCCGTCGCTGCGCGGGGGAACACGTACTTCTTCGGCGGCATGGAGGCCGGCTTGAAAGGGAGGAGGCGGAGTTTGGCGGGAGGAATGGAGAATGAGAGGGAAGCCGAGGGGGAAGCGGGAGGAAACGGCGGGAAAAGGGCCTCCTCTCGCCGACAGAGCGGCCCCACGCCCCTTTTCGCTTATGCCGGCGCCCCCATGCGACACCCGGACGCTTGGGTTCGGCTCGGGATCGCCGGCTCTGGATTTGGCCGAAATCGGCGCTAAATGAGGTCCTGGGGACGCGACTGGGCCGATTTTCGGCCACCGGCATTAAAAATTCGCTTGGGGGGCCTCTTGGTGCCGCGGCTGGAGATGCTCTTAGGCAGCATTGGGCGGGATCAACTGGACTAGAAAAAAATGGTTAAAAAATCCCACCGACTAGAGAAATTCCCCACGTATTAACCCGGACCACATCACGTTGTGCTATTTTTGATTACCCCCTTGCATGCCAAATCATCCTACCACCGTGAGAAGAGCCAACAGCGGAGCTACGTTGTAGCCTACAGGGACCATGCTCCCAGCCTTAATAAAACGGTTTTGCTAGAACTCATCTAGCTGAGTTTTAGTTATGTCTCATTCATATTTATAGCCATTGGATTGATACTATAAGATGTGTGTGTGCTGACGTGGGTTGTAGTACTATTTGTATTTGTTTTTGTTTTTCAGGTGAATGAGACCAAATTATATTTCATCTAGATGGGTCCTAGGTTGGAATAATTTTTTTAAGGGGTGCTTAGAGTACAAAAAATATACACTTTGCCCCCACCCCCAAACATCTATTATTTCTACTTGGCTCTCCCTGAAGAACCTGCCTAGCTCAGCCAGTGAGAAGAACACTTCAAAAACACCGTTGATGCTGACCTTATTTGGCGCTCCAAAGTACCCAACAAGGTCAATATCTTCGGGCCGCTCTTGTTCAGAAACAGACTCAGCACTAGGGCAAACTTGCATCGAGAAAAACACCTTACAATCGAATGCCTGCCACGCTACTACTGTATGCTCGAAGATGCCTTGCACGTCTTCGCTGCCATGACCAACGGCCTCTGCAGTTTGGGACCAGTTAGGCCTTCTTCAACCCCTCTTCATCCAAGGAATATGGGCCTCCCTACCCTGACGACGCTAGATCATGCGTCGTGGCCTTTCGTGCCCCTCGTCCTTCTCTGAAAATTGTGTAATTTTCACAATGTGTGTTTTTCGAAGAGATAACTACACATTCGATGTAACTATTAGGAACACTGTACTAGACTTTATAACTTGGACTTGCATGTTCAAGGAACCTTTTTCAAAAGGTAGTTGTTATGTCATGACGGGCCGACCTCTCCTCGTGCATCGGCGAACATCCCCTTATAACTCTAAACTTTGGTTCATTCCTTAGCAATCTTTAGGGTTTTCTCTCAAATCAAATATTATCTCAACTAAAAACTTTATTTCATAGTTTTAAATAATAGGCTATGCCAAATAGTGATGCTCTGTTTAGTGAGTTATAGTATGCTCTGTATCAAAATATAAGACGGTTTTCAACGCTATGACAATGTAAAAAATGTCTTATATTTAAATACATGGAGTATTTTGCAACTTTATGGACAATTGTACGTGAGTGGCATGTTGCTCAAACCGCTGCGCGACTATATAAGAGCCGTAGCCGATTATTTAGAACTTTGAGTTTATTTGCATTTCCTGTTCACTACCCATAGTCAAATCTTCACTAAATCAAATTTTAGTGAGGATTCCCTGGCTATTATTCATTTTTTAGGAAAAAACACGCCCGAAGCAAATGCTCCGCCTCAAACCCTAGAACCGTGCTGCCGCGTGATCACCCGGTGAAAATGGCGCCGCTGCGCCATGGCCTGGTGGAAACGGCGCCGCCACGCGATCACGGGAAGAAGCGCCGGGGCCGGGTGAAGGAGGCCGCACTGGCGGAGGCGGACGCCCTGATCTCCCTTCCCCCGGACGCCCTCGACAACATCCTCGTCCGTCTCGGCATCCGCGACGCCGTCCGCACGTCGGCGCTCTCCCGCGTCTGGCGACACCGATGGGAGGCCCTCCCATACCTCGATCTCCACTTTCCCCGCCTCGGAGGCGATGAGGGCGCGCCGGCGGGGCTGTGGTCCCTTTACGGCATCCTCCTCCGCTGCCCCGGCCGCGTCCGGCTCTTCCACGCGGAGCTCGACGGGCCCTACGCAGGCCGCGTCCACGACTGGCTCTTCGTCCTCTCCCGCAGGGGTGTCGAGATCCTGGACCTGAGCTTCAACGACTCGTTCCCCACCCTCCCCTCCTCCGTCTTCTCCTGCAGCCGGCTCACCTCCCTCAGTCTCTTCGGCTGCGCCATTCCGCTCCTACCCGCAGGCTTCGTGGCCTTCCCGGATCTAAAGAAATTAACTCTCGCAAACGTCCACTTAGAGGACTATGGGGAGTACCAACTTGAGGAGATCATAAGGACATCCCCGTTGCTCGAGTATCTGGTACTTACAGATGTTTTCATCGATGGCGAGCACATCAGAGAATGGGTGATTCGGGCGCCCAATCTCAGGCACTTGACGATTTGTTCAGAGAACTATTATGGCTGGATCCTCAAGGACTTGACATGCCTGAATTCCGCAGTCATCGATTGGTTTGACAATGTTGTTCACCACGATTTTGCCAAGTTTCTTTCCGGGCTTGTTCAAGTTAGGAAGCTTTTGGTCGTTTCATTCAACGCACCGGTAAATGCTTATGTCCCCAGTTGCTTATTTTATCTTTTGAGTCTTGTTTCGCAGAATCAATCCGAAACTAGTTAAAATGCCCTGCATCAGAATATGGGGAGTTTTTTCTTTTCTTTAATCTGTCCGAATAGCTAGGCTGCCGCACCTGTGCTGATATCATTAGGCAACCATATTAGATTACACAAAATAGAGTACAAATAGCTTTGCCCTAACTGGCCTCAAGCCCACAAGGTTGATTACTTACGAAACATAATGCAACAAAGGGGGAAAATACCTAATCATTATCTGTATGTCCTTGGATGCTCTAAAAACCCCTTGATCTAGGTACTCCATTTTGAAAGTGCAAGTTTTTTTTCCTCCCCAAATGAGCCAACATATATAGGCCTCTGTACTGTCGAAATGATTTCCTGTCTGCCCCTTGGGCTTGGCTTCTTTCAGCCTAGTTGCGACCAATCTACCAATTAATTTATTCCGGGTTGTATACTTATATCATGTTTTTGTACATGCATTGTCCCACAGACATGGTTCATATTAACCTGCATATATTATTTATTTTCATCTCGGTGTTTTATTATCCCAGTTGCCAACTTGATAAATAAGGCTGATGTATATTTTTCCTTTTTCGTTTGCAAAATGTATAGATTTGTGTGGTTTATGGTGTGCTGAACCTTTGAACATTTATGATCTTTTTTCTGTTTATATAGAAACGATATCTGTCCCTTCGTTTGCATTGCTCCTAGATTCTAGAGATGCATCCAGTTTAAGTCCTGATATTATCCTTGCTCTCTCTTTGTCCTATTTTTCAGAGTGCTATGATACCGAAGATAATTCTGTGCACCTTTCACAACTTGAAGAGCTTGAAGTTGCGTATGCACTTTTGTGAGCAACCCCCTATTATGTTAGCGTTTTGCTTACTAAAGAGTGCCCCAAATCTTGAAAAGCTTAAAATAGAGGTAATCCTGATTTATGAATGTTCCCATGCATATTTCATATTAACATTGTTTAAAGGTCATTTTGGCGCTTCAGGTTAATTGTCGTTTTTACTTTTATATGTGAAGATCTATGATAAGGAGGAGCAGAAATTTGAGGCAAATGGAGAGTTTCAAAATGCATTATGGACTGATGGCATGTGTGCCAACCTTCAGGTTGTGCAGATGACCGGCATTAATTGGCGGCGAAATGAAATGTGCTTTATAGAGCTCATTCTCTCTAAAGCAAGGCTTCTTCGTGCATTATTTATTAGCTATGGTGGGAACGTTGTGATGTCTAGTGAGGATGCTATAAATGAATTACTAACATACAAAAGGGCTTCAGCTGAAGCTCAGGTCTTATTTAAAGGTAGGGAAACTTCATTTCACACAATAAATTTCAACTTATGTATTCTCGTTGTCTATTTAAAACTATGAATGAAATGCATGAAATTGTTTACTTTTAAAATTATTGTCTTATGGGTGCATTGGCCAATTCCATTAAAGTTTGTGTACAAAGACCAAAGCAATAAAACTGAAAAGGGATCATCGGTATTTTTGGTATTTAGCTGTTTGCAAAATTGGTGTTGTTCGTGCTTTTTTAGTTTGGTCAGTGCCTCAGCATTGGTACAAGTGTCAGTGCCTCAGCAGGGGTACAAGTGGAATGCATCATTTTCATGCATGCTTCGACATAGCAATCCTGTTGTTTTTTCTAACAAGGGCAGAATCTCCTGTTCTCTGCTGCATTTCATTGAAAACTGAAAAGCCATACTACTCCAAGCAGCTTAAACCATTGGATTCTGGATCTTGCTTAAGCGAAATCTATGTGATTGACTTAGATGCACGGTCTTTCGCGTGATGCATCTGATATTTTCCTCCGGGCCATGCATGCGTCTGCTAAAATATTAAGCTGATTTGTGCCAAGTGGCGATCAGTTCGTGTATATGCACAAGTGCAATATATTTTGGTTGCATTTCCTTTATTTTGATAAGCTGCATAAAGAGTGTTTCCGTTGTCATGCAGGTAAAGCAGAAGAGTATTATTAGGTCAGGACCAACTCCTGGGCATCGCTGGAGAGGTGTGGCTCCGACGAGACAGTTCTATCGCCTGATGCAGTGTCTTCGATCAGAGATGCAGCATGCAGAGAATGGCTTCTCAAAAAGAACCAGTTCTGTTAAGAGTAAAAGGAACTGCTAGCATTTTGTGTTTTGCTCTTTTCTGAAATATATTGGTGTGCCATCGGTGCTTTCGTCAGAGCTAACGATGAGGTTTAAGTTCATTGTCTTTGTCTAGCACTCTAGTTAGTAGTATTACCGTCGCGAGAAGACGCCTTCGAACATGGGTCGTGTCTCCTGTGACTTTCCAGGCCTCTGAAAGTGAAGCTCACGTTGCCTTTTGGTATTATATCCTTGTACTGGCTGTAGCAAATTTAGGCTGGAGAGTCTGAGGGAGTTGTCTTCCATTCTTAGAAAAAACTGCACTTGCTATCCTGTTGCTACTTATGGGCAAAACATAAAGGTTGTTCATGAGCCCCCAGTCTTAGGCTCATATGGGCTCTGCCGCCGTTATTTATAGGTACCAAGAGAAGGTTTGTTGCTCCATGGTTTCATTGGCTGCTTGAGCCGAGGATGGCCAAAAAGCCAGGTACTAACATTTGCTGAGTACTGAGAGAAACATTTGCTGAGTACTGAGAGAAACATTTGCTGATGGGGTGCGATGGAGTTAGTAGAATCAAATTATCAGGGCAGGAATTTCCTCGAACTGTAAAAAGGAGGTCGAAAGAATTTGAGAAAATATGTTTCGAAATGAGAAATAGCTCAACGTATCTTTGTGTGCAGCGACACGGTATTTTGCACAAAATATACTTATGCACACAATACTCAAATCATCTATATGTGTACCTTCTTCAAATATTTTGAATCATGAATTATTTCCCTTTAAATTACTCCCTCCTTCCCAATTAACATTGGCGTCAACTTATTTTGCATTTCGAATTCAATTACTAACTTGACCAACAAAACACAACTAATGCTCCATGAAAACTATACCCTTGAATTCGTATTAAAAAGGTTTTTAAACAAATTTCTTTTAGAAACACCAAGTACTGCTACGCACGCATCACCTACTGAAGACCATAGTCGCGAAGCCTCAAGATTGAGGAAGGCATCACATGCATCTTGCTATCAATGAGAATGTCACCTTACACTGAAAGAATAATCCACCTTATTGGGACACATAATTCGTCAAAGCTGGAGTTTGATATCTGATATGGTACAATTACCATCCAACCACAAGTATGTTTTCTCTGATATATGTTTTATGACACATGTCTCGTATATTACTGGCCAAATTAATGCTTAGGGCTCTGTCATGTGGGGCACGTCTTACAGACGTGGGCCGCGCGGCCAGGAGCAGCCGACGGCCGCATCAGGCAAGGCGCAGGCTGGACAGGAGTCCTGATCCGGGCACATTAGTTCCTAGACTAGTTTATTTCGTATAGGTTTCTAGTTTGTTATTAGCCCATGGGGCCTTTATATATCAGATAGTTAGCACCCTTTAGGGATAAGCAATAAAGTTATTTCCTTCTATCTTCCCCTCCCGCATCATAGAGCAGCCAGGCAAAAACCCTAGCGCTCCTATCCACCGCGACTACGAACTACGTAGTCGAGGTCCTGCTGTCTTGGGCACCGAGGCCCTTGACAACTTGGTATCAGGTTCCAGGCGATCCTTCTCCTCGTCCACGCTCCATCCGCCGGCCGCTTTTCCCCCTGTGTCCGCGCCCAGCTCCCCGACATCGCCACAATCCGCTGCCGCCTCGGTTACTTCCGACATGGCAGAACCGACCACCACAGATCTGGCTAAGATGATAGAGGCCTTGACGGCCACGGTGATGTCCCTGCAATCGTCCGTCACCGCACTCCAGAAGGACAAGTCCTCCTCTTCGTCCAGCGCTGCCGCCGCCCATGATGGGCAGCACCACAATGATCGGCCGCCCAGGTTCCAGAAGATGGACTTCCCCAAGTTCGACGGCAAGTCTGATCCGCTCGCCTTCATCAACAGATGCGAGTCCTTCTTCCATCAACAACGGATCGCTGAGGAGGAGAAGGTGTGGATGGCGTCCTATAATCTCGAGGGTCCTGCCCAACTATGGTATATGCAGGTCCAGCGCGACGAGGGCACACCTCCGTGGCGCCGCTTCTCCGAGCTGCTCAATCTCCGCTTCGGGCCACCGCTGCGCGCTAACCCGCTGGGCGAACTAATGGCGTGCAAACGCACGACGTCCGTCGTCGACTTCCAGGAGCGGTTTGAGGCACTCCTTCCCCGGGCAGGCACCTTATCCGAGACACAGAAAGTGCAGATCTTCACCGCGGGACTCCAGCCACCCCTCAGCCTCGACGTGGAGATCCATAACCCACAGTCCCTCGCCGTCGCCATGAGCCTCGCCCGCAAATTGGAGCTGCGCGACCAGTGCGCGCTTTCCGCCGCGCCACCGGTGCGTTTTCCACAGAAGGGCATCCTGCCGACACCAGGACCACGCCTCGCGCCCCCCGCTCCGGCCCCACCAGCCGCACCTCAGCAGGGCCACAATCTGCCGGACGGACGCCTAATCAAGCGTCTCTCCCAGACAGAGATGGAGGAACGCCGTCGCCTGGGCCTTTGCTTCAACTGTAACGAGAAGTTTGGCAGGGGCCACAACCGCGTGTGCCAGCGCATCTTTCTCCTCGACTTAGCGCCGGACGACGACGACGACGACGCGGCCTCCGCCACTGATGATGCATCGTGGGCCGACCCTCAAATCTCGCTCCACGCGATCGCCGGCGTGCGCACGAGTGAAACCATGCAGATGCAGATTACTCTCGGAGGTGTCTCCCTCCTCGCCCTGATCGATTCAGGCTCCACCCACAACTTCATCGCCGAAGAGGCGGCCGCTCGTGCTACGTTACCGCACCCCACCACAGGGAAGATGCGCGTCACGGTGGCCAACGGCGAGCGCGTTCCGTGCCAGGGCGCGTACCGCGTCGTGCCCTTCCGCATCGGCCACGAGGAGTTCGCGGAGGATTTCCTCGCCTTGCCGCTCGCGGGCTACGACATCGTCCTGGGCACGCAGTGGCTGGCGTCGCTCGGACCGATCCTGTGGGATTTCCGAGCCCTCTCCATGACATTCTGGCGGCGGGGCCATCGGGTGTGCTGGCACGGCATTGCAGGACCGGACGGGCCAGCCCTAAAATCATGCAGCGGCCGCGACTTCCTGGACGCCATCATCACCGAGTTTGACGGCATCTTCGCCGACCCCTCCGGCGTGCCCCCGCCCCGCAGCCGCGATCACGGCATCACCCTGCTACCTGGCTCCGCCCCGGTGGCCGTCCGTCCGTATCGATACCCGGCCGCGCACAAGGACGAGCTAGAGCGTCAGTGCGCCGCCATGCTCGCCCAAGGTATCATCCGTGCGAGTTGTTCCGCATTCTCGTCCCCGGTACTGCTGGTCCGCAAGGCCGACGGGTCCTGGCGCTTCTGCATCGATTATCGCGCCCTGAACGCCATTACTGTCAAGAATGCGTTCCCGATTCCGGTGGTGGACGAACTCCTCGACGAGCTACGGCACGCTCGTTTCTTCACCAAGCTCGATTTACGTTCCGGCTACCACCAGGTGCGGATGCGTGAGGAGGACATCCTGAAGACAGCTTTCCGTACTCATGACGGCCTCTACGAGTTTCTGGTGATGCCGTTCGGACTCTGCAACGCGCCGGCCACGTTCCAGGCCCTCATGAATGATCTGCTGCGGCCATACCTGCACCGTTTTGTTCTCGTCTTCTTTGACGACATCCTCATTTTCAGCGAGACATGGGCTGACCATCTCCGACATGTGCGCACCGTCTTCACGGTCCTGCACCAGCACCGGCTCTTCGTCAAGCGCTCCAAATGCGCGTTCGCCGTTGAATCAATCGCATACCTGGGTCACACCATCTCCGCTGCAGGCGTGGCCATGGATCCGGAAAAGGTACAGGCAGTAGCGGACTGGCCGCAACCACGCTCGGCGCGCGCGGTTCGGGGCTTTCTCGGCCTTGCGGGGTACTACCGCAAGTTTGTCAAGGACTTTGGCGTGGTTGCCGCGCCCCTGACGGCCCTCCTTCGCAAGGATGGTTTCTCTTGGTCGCCGGAGGCGGCAACAGCTTTTACCACCCTCAAGACGGCAATCACCACGGCTCCCGTCCTCGCGTTACCGGATTTTACACGGCCGTTCATCGTCGAGTGTGACGCATCGACGTACGGTTTCGGGGCCGTCCTTCTTCAGGACCACCACCCGGTGGCTTTCTTTAGCCGGCCAGCCGCGCCACGTCACCGCTCCCTGGCAGCGTATGAACGGGAACTCATCGGCCTGGTGCTCGCGATTCGCCATTGGAGGCCGTACCTATGGGGGCGTCAGTTTGTGGTAAAAA